GGCTTCAGATCGGCGCAGTACCGGCCGTTGCGGTCATTTGGGGAATGAATCTTCGGATGGAAGATCTTCCTCTCTGTGTCTCCTCCTTTCTGTATATCTGACTTTGTAATAAAAATAAATCTTAAAGAAAAAAAAAAAAAAAAGCAGTAGGGTGGGGAGAGAACAGAGACAGATCTTTCTGCCCGTAGGTCATAGCAGCTGAGGCTGGGCCAGGCCAAAGCCTGGAGCTCTGTCCGAGTCTTCCACATGGATGCGGGGGCCCGAGCCCTTGGGGCCATCCTCCACGGCTTGCCCAAGTGCATTCGCAGGGGACTGGATGGGAAGCGGAGCCGCCAGGGCTGAGGTGAGCACTCTAAGGTGGGACGCCAGCGCGTGCCACAGCACTCGGCCCTGCTCTCAGCCCATCTCTCTGCAGCGAGCTCCATCTGTGCTGTGTGAAAGCCATTTCTGCACACGTCCTGCTCCTGGGTCCTCGGCAGTCTGTAAGCTCCCTGGGGGACCAGGCCAGCTCAGCTCTGGCACCTGCTCGTGCCAGTACCCGGGGCTCTCCAGGCGCTAAGGGGGCCTTTGCTGAATGAATGCATGGGGAATGAATGCCAGGACTCAGCCCTACTGAGCTGTTGAGGTCAGGCAGTCGTCTAGGTTATAGGACCTGACTCACTGTAGCAGCCTGGTGGATCAGTTTGCATTCACCCCACTCAGTTTTCCTCCTCTGGGAAATGGGGCCACAACTACCAAATCCACCTCCTTGGGAGCACCATGAAGCTACAGGTCCCAGACCATCAGAGCCAGAGGGCTGGCTCAGCAAGCTTCCTTCTACAATGAGAAAGGGGGAAACTGGGACCTGGGGCAAAAAAAAAAAAAAGGTCCCCACCAGAGCAGGAGCCAGAACTGGGATTCGGAACTAGAGCCTGTCTCGGACAGACCAGGCTTTCTCCACACCCCTTCGGTCCCCAACTCTGCACTCTAAGCTTGGAAAGCTTGGGTCTCTGCTGGAACTAAGGATCGGGAATTTTCCTCACCACTCTAGGGCCTCAGAGCTGTCCTGACCTTGGCCCCCTCGGCTGTATGGGTTGCCGGGGGGGGCGGGCAAGAACCCCTCAGTTCTGAAGAAGCCAGCGGGACAGTCCCGTTAATATTGTGCATCCCGTTCATTTGTCGAGGCCGGCCCCGGGGTCAAGCGCCCCAGCTGGTGCTGCCCGGGCCGGGTGGGCCTGCGTGTGGCCCCACAGCCCCGCCCCAAACCTTCTTAATGAGATCAAGCTGGCCCCGCAGCTTGGCCGGCGCTGGGAGGGAGGAAGGAGGAGCGGCGGGGGCGGGCGGGTGGAGGGAGCTGTGGGGCCCGGCGCCAGCCCACAGCAGCCCAGGCAAGCAGGCAGGGAGGCAGGCAGGAGCGGATCCTCTCCCGCCCGAGCCCCCAGGCCCGCGTGCGTGGAGGAGCTGGTGAGTCCGGGTCTCCGGCGTATTTTGGCAGCACCTCTCCAAGTTTGCCTGTCTTAGAGTGCACGTGTGGGATGGCCACAGAGTCCCAAAGGCTTGCAGGGGCTGTGTGTGTGTGTGTGGAAGAGGGTTGCTTCCAGCTCAGGGGGAAGATGGGGGGGCTGGGAGGCTGGATTGAGGGGCCTTGCTCACAGATGGGCATGTGGTGTGTCCGTGTGTGCCTGCGTCCACACTGAGGTGCCTCTCTGTGTGCCTCCAGGTTGCCTTTGGGTTGGCGTGTCTGGGATTGTGTCTCCAAGTGTTGCATGTCTGTGTGTTGTGTCCAGACTGCTGCTGCTGCTGCTGCTGTGTGTGTGTGGCGGGGTCAGGGTGGGGGACTCGGCCTCCAGGACCCCATTCCTGCTCCAGGCCTTCCTTTGGAGGGGCCCTGGGTCCCCCCTATCTTTGGTTGGCTTCAAGAGGGCTGTGGGAAGCCAGGCATCAGCTGGATCCCTTCCCCCAGGCTACTAATGTGTCAGGTTTCTGTGGCTCACCCCTCCTGCCTTTGGCCTTGGGGTACACAGCAGGCCTGGGGATGCCCAGGCCTCAGGATGATTTGCATTAAGCTGCACTTTCGTGAGCACCAGTGGGATCCTTTCTTTTCAGACAGCAAACCCGGAGTGTGGGCTGTGGCTTCTGTGGCCTGTCTTTGCTGGAGGTGGTGGCCCTCAGCCCCAGGTGCAGCTGCGGCCCAGCCCAGGACCCTCCCCATACCTCCTGGGCAGGCTGTCCATCTCTGGGCCAGTGCCAGCTCCTAGTGTCCTGGGAAACTCCAGTTCCTTGTGGGGATGAGGGCCAGGGACTTGGCCAAGCTCTCCCAGGAGGCAGGCAGAGCTACTTCCGCATGTCTGGCTACGGATGGGAGATGGAGGCCCAGGCCGGGCAGGGGACTGGTCCAGGGCCACGTGGCTGTCTCCTTGGAGGCCTGGCTAGCTTCAGGGGTGGTTGAGTGCCCACACTGCCTTGGAGGAGGGGGTGGGTCAGGAAAGCTGGCGGGCTGTGGGGACTTGGAAAGTTGGAGCTGAGTCTCTGAACTCTTGAATGCCGGGTGGCCACCTTGCCTGACTCGCTGCTGCAGGCTTGTGTGTTTGTGTGTTGTGTATGTTGTGTGTGTCTGTGCTGTGTGTGCTGTTACATGTCTGCTGTGTGTCTGTGTTGCATGTGTGGGGTGCTGTACATGTCTGTGCTCTGTGTGTTGTGTCTGTATGTTACATATTGCGTGTCTCTGCTGTGTATGTCCACATGCTATGTGTTTTGTGTGTCTAGGTTGTGTGTTGTGCATGTCTGTGTATTAAGTGTGTCTCTTGTGTTTTGTATTGCATGTCTGTGTTGTGTGTTGCATGTGTTAAGTTTGCATGTTTAGGTGTGGATATGTCTGTGGTCTGTGTGTGTGTTTGGTACTGCGTTCCCCTGCGCCCAGAGTCCAGGCACTCTCCCTCAGTGGGGAGTAGGCATTGGTTTTTTCCCTGCTGAGAACAAGAGACCAGGAGCAGACAGGCAAATGGGGTGCAGACCGCCCTGAGGGACTTGGAGCTGGCAGTGTTGGCTGATCCTGGATCTCTGTGAACCCAGCTGAGGACCTGCTCTGTGAAGATGCCTGGAGTTGTCTTTGTCCTACTCCCATGTGTAGGTGGGGAAACTGAGTCCCCCGGAGTGAGGGTGCAGAGAGCCGGGTTGCTGACGGGGCTTCCTGGCCAGTGCCTTTGGCCTCAGCACATCTACAACTTCTAACATCCTCAGCCCCTATGGGCACAGCACCATTATCCTCTGCAGGCACACTTGGCAGCTGACACCGTAGGCTTGACTCATGGTGGAAGGCAGAGAGGGGGCTGGCCGGACAAGGTTCCCAATGCTTACTGTGACTGCAAGAACCTGTGCGTCTTCATGTCTTAGTTCATCCTTGTGCCATACTGAGGGGATGCAAACTCATTCATGGGTGTGTGTGTGTATGTGTGTGTGTGCACGCTTGTAGTGTGTGTGTTGTGCTTGTCCGTGGTGTGTGAGTGTGTTTCAGAGTTAGACAAGTCTGCCCTCATGACTGTGTGTTTCACATCTGAAGCCAATCATAGATTGAAAATCTCCAGCATTAGGATGGACCAGTAAAACCCATGCAACACAGCTCTCTGCCACCTGCCCTGTGTGCTGGGGGAGATGTGGACCATTCAGGGAAGACAGAGTGGGGCAGCCGGGTGTGTGTGTGGTGGTGGTGGTGGGGGCCTGTTTAAACTACCCAGTCAGAGACTCAGGCACCTGCAGTGCTGGGACCTGTGGTGACCCATACAAGTACACAACTCCTCCCCAGACAGCCTCAGGGGATCGGGAGGCCTGGAGTAGCCCAGGATGAGCCACAGGGTGGCCTAGGCTTGTCCCTGCCTTAGGACTGGAGTTGGAGTTACAACCTGGCAGCTTCAGGAACCTTGCTGTGCTGTCCTGGGCCAGCCCCTGGCCTGCTGGGGACCCTCAAGGCTCCTGCATCTCACAGAGGCATCATAAGCCTCGGCCAACCCCTGTGACCACAGAGACAGCCTGGCCAGGGTTGGGAAGGGGACAGGGTTTTTGCGTTTGGCCGGATGGGAGCTCCCACCTCCCATTAGCGAGAGTAAGGGGGCAGAGGTTGAGGGTGGAGGGGCATTTGTGTGTGTGTTTGACTCTGCCTGAACTTGGCCTGAGGGGATTTATTCATCAGCCGGGCTGTCTGGGGCAGATGGGGTCTGGGGGTTCACACAGGAGCAGACTTCCTGTGGGCATGGCGGATTCCATCTGGTCCTCATCTTGGCAGCGCTGCGGCAGTAGTAGGGGCTTGGCTGGGGCTCAGCCATGAGGTCTCCTCTGGGACCCTCCTAGGCCTAGGAGCGGGCAGGCCATCAGCCGCCCTTGAGCTCGGTGACCTGGGGGCCTCAAAGTCAAGGCTCACATGCCTTGGGTGCCTGTGGGGAGACTGGAAGGAACCTCTGACTGAGCCAGTGTGGCAGCCCAGCGTCTGGGGACAAGGTGGGTGGTGGGGGAATCTCTGAATTTGGGGGAGGAGGGGAAGACACTTGGCTCCCCCCATTTCTTATTTGCTCAGCCCTACTATCTCTCCTGACCCCTGGCTGGCAAAACCTCCTTGTTCTTTTCTTGGTGTGCCTGAACCCCTTTAAGCCTCATTTTAATCAACTAGGAAATGGGCATAACGGTATGCCTTCCCCCTGCCATGGGGTAATTAGGACTCATGGAGAAATTCCTTGTAAGCAATTTACCCGAGTAAGCTGGGACATGGTGAGAAAGGAATGTCTTCTTATTTCTTCGGCCTGAGTTTGGCGAGATGCATTCAGTGAGCACTTACTGTATTGCAGAAATGGGGCCAAACCCTGAGGACATGGAGGGAAGTGAGATTCTGTCCTCCCAGGGAACCGATGGGGCCCCTGTCCCCAAAGAATGAACAGTGTACCTCCCGGGGCTTGGCTGAGCTCTCTGAATCCTGATACTCTGGGCCCCCCGCGATGACTTTTGTCCTCCTGTTGTCCCCTCCCCACTGACAGGTCCCTGGGACACCATGATCTGCACTGCGACAGCCCCCAGCTTCCTGGTCCTGTCCCTGCTGCTGCTGCTCCTGCCATCAGTGCCCGCGGCCCACTCCGTGTTCCTGGAGGAGCTGGGAGGCAGCGGGGAGGCCGAGGGCTCGTCAGCCTCCTCCCCTAGCCTCCCGCCACCCCGGACCCCGGCCCTGAGCCCCACCTCACTGGGACCCCAGGCCACGCCCTTGGCCGGCCCCTCGCCCCCCACCAGCTTCCTGGAGGGCGTCATGGACTTCTTCCGCCAGTACGTGCTGCTCGTCGCCGTAGTGGGCTCCCTGGCCCTCCTGCTGCTCTTCGTCGTGTGTGCTGCCCTCATCACGCGCCAGCAGCACAAAGCCTCGGCTTACTACCCGTCTTCCTTCCCAAAGAAGAAGTACGTGGACCAGAGCGACCGGGCTGGCGGCCCCCGCGCCTTCAGCGAGGTCCCCGCCCGGGCTCCCGACAGCCGGCCCGAGGAGGCCTTGGATTCCTCCCGGCAGCTTCAGGCCGATATCCTGGCTGCCACCCAGAACCTCAAGTCTCCGGCCAGGGGTACCCAGGGCAGCAGGGAGGGAGCCAGGCTGGCAGAGGGTAAATTAGGAGGGGAGGAAGAAGGGAAGGAGGAGGAGAAGGGGGGGAAGGAGAGGAAGGAGGAGGAACAGCAGGTGTATCCAGAATGCCAGGGATGTGCGTTGCCGGCTGAGAACCCACAGGTGGAGGCAGAGCCGAGCGCGGTGGTGGCCGAGAACACTGCGGTGGCTGCCGAGGACCCGGAAGAGTCTGAGGGGTCTCCCCCGTTAGCCCAGGACTCCCCCAGCGTCTAGCAGCACCACACTCCCCCACAACCCCAGGGCTCTCAGATCTCAAGCTGTCCCTCCCTTGGGCATGGAACGGCCTTCAGCCCTACCTGCTTGCTGACACTCCCACCCACCCACCCCTGGAGAGGCTGGCCTCTGGTGGCACCTCTGTGACCCTCAGGGGTCATAGCTTGTTTGGGAGACAGCCAGGTGCTCAGCAGAGGCAGTCAGTCTGGCCGGACATTCAAATGGTGCCATCTTTTGCCCCTGCGGTGCCCCTGACAGACCAGTGTCCCCCTCTGCTTCTGCTTCTGCCAGAAGTGGGCTTGGTTAAAGAGGGAGATTTGGAGAGGAGCCCCTCCGGCTCTCAGCGAGTGTCTCCCAGATAGACTTGTTCCCCAGGTACACTGTGGCCAAGGCCAAAGGTACTGCAGAAATGTCACCTCTTCCTTCCTCCTCTGCCCTCCTCCCCAGCCCTCCGGCATTGTCTGCCACGTACACAAAGCCTGTGCAGGCTCCAATGGATTTTGGTTTTGTTTAGTCTTTTCCAAACTTTTAAAAATAGCTGCTGAGGGCAATCTGGCTCTACCCACATTGGAAAACTGCACTGGAAACCACTCTGGTGTCCGGGTGGTGCAGGGTTAGGATATGGAGTGTGGTGGCTCGGGCCCTTTCTGGAGCTGCCCAGGGTGTGTGTGTGGGGAGGATTCTGAGTGGGTGGGAGAGGGTTTCTGACGCCCAGCCTGGGGCCAGGGGTGCCTGGCTGCCCAGCTGAGCTCCACGTCTGGGCTGGCAGCCTGCAGCATGTTCAGTTGTTGACAGGGAGCCTGGGTACCATCCCCATTAGGGGAGGATCTGAGGGGTGGTCTTCTCCCCTGTCCCTCCATATGGGGTCCCCCAGTCTCTGCACTGCTCTCCTCCGGGTGCTGAGATGTAACCCACCAGCGCAATAAACCCCCCCACCCCTGATCTGGCCCCCCAGTCTCATTGGTTCTCTTTGGCAGCAGTAAGGGTGGGGTAGAAAGGGTGAACCTGCAGGGAAGGGAGGCTGGTCAGTGTGTGGGGGAGCGGGCAGTGATGAGATGGGGTCTCCCAGATTCCCCACCCTGACCTGGGGAGCAGAGCAGGCCTCCATGGGGCGGGGGAATGGCCGGGCACTGAAATGGGTCCAAACCCCAGGCCATAGGTCGCCACTGCCTTTGTCTCCTTGTTGGCCAGGCTCCTCCCCCGCTTATGATGGTGAATTCCAGCCGCCCTGGGGCAACCACCCCTATTTTCTTCCTCCTCCTCCTCTTCCCCCTCTTCCCCTGTAGCCCTGTGTCTCTGAGTTGCCAGCTGGAGTCCAGATGTGGCCAGGAGCACGGGCTGTGTCTGCAGGGTGGTGGGGACCCCACCCCCTGCAGCAAGCTCCTCACCTCCTCAGACCCCACATCTGCCTGCCCACCCAGAAGGGGGCCATGGCTGGGTTTCAGGACACACAGCGGTCTCTGTCTTGCTCTCTGGCTCACTGGGGTTGGGGTTGCCAGTTGGGGGGGGGACAGGGGGGGCCCCCCTTCTCCATCCTGCCCAGCTCCAACCCAGAATGATGAGGAGAGTAGAAGCAGAACACTCTGATCCCCAGATTCTCTGGATCTCTCTTTGTTCTCAAACCTTCTGTGGGGTCTGAGGCAGGGGAGCCTTGGTTATCCCTGTGACAGAGGAACCCCGGGTGAGGGATGGAGGCCGACCCAGGAGGCCTCTGGGGGACAAGAAGGGCCTGATTTTCCCACTCGGCAGCTTTCTGCTGAGCAACCCCGCGCTTATGCTTCCCCTGGACCCTCCCCAGGACTAGTGGGGCTGTGGGCCAGCACGGGGCAGTGCTGTTCACCTCTGAACTTTGACAGTTGATGATCACGAAAGAGCTGGGTTTTTTTTTGCTCCCTAGAGGAATGAATGAATGAGTCCTTTGGGGAGGTCTCGGCAGGGTCACACCTCTGCTCGGATCCCCCCTCAGTCTGTTCCCCCTTCTGAGATTGGAGTCAAAGTTGGGGATTGTGGGGGCTGGCAGGGGGTGAGGGAGGATGAGGGAGGTTTCCACTCCTGTCAGGGCCCCAGGAGTCTGCCAGATCCCAAACAAGCCCCCACTGACCGTGGACTTAGGAATCTGTCTCCTGGCAAGGCCTGTTGTGGCCATCATGGGGCAGGGACAGGGAGCAAAGCCAGCCCAGGACACGGACCCATGGCTTGATGGCACACCTGGACTGCAGGGCCCTCTTCTGCATCCTCATCTCGGGTGGGGGACGTGGCCAGGATGGGGAGCCAGGCAGAGGGCACTCCCCTGGCGTTTCAGCGCATCCTGGCACTGGGTTTTCGTTAGTAGGGACCTGGAGATGTCAGCTTCCCTTCAGCCAGCACTTAAGGAAGGCTCTGGGCTCAGGAAGGGGGCAGGTGCATCAGGCTTTCTGCTTCCCCATCCCAGCTCTTCTGTGTCTGGTCCCCAGCACACACTGTGCATACAACAGACCCGTGCTGAAAATAACTCGGAGAATCTCCGGGCCACCCTGGCCAGGATTAGCCGCGGGGGCAGCTGTTCTGAGTACAGTCTATATGTCTGGTGCCCTGCTGTTTTTTTTTTTTTTTTATGGCTTTACTGAGGGGTAATTGACACCTAATAAAGTGCATATATTGCAAGCATAAACAATCTGCCAGTCTCCCACACACGAGTGTGCCCGTAAACCATCAGTGTCACCAAGTTCGTGAACGCATCGTCACCTCCAAGGCTTTCTCTTTAGCTCTCTGCAAGCTTTCTGTATCCCTCCTCCCTGCCCCAACTCCTCCCTGAATGTGCGGGAAGCTCCTGGGCTGCTTTTGGTGCCTGCATTTTTCTTTTCTGGAATTTTCCATCAACAGAACATACTGGGGGTGTGTGCTCTTTTATTGCCTAATTTATTTTCCTCTGCATAATTGTTTTGAGGTTTCTTCATGTCATTTTTTTTTTTTTTTAGTTATTTATTGGAAAGGAAGAATTAGAGAGAGATAGGAAAAGACTAGCAAAACAGAGAGAATGCTTCCATTCATTGATTCACTCCCCCAAAAACTGGGCCGAAGCAAACTGAAGCTAGGAGCCACAAACTCCAGCAAAGTCTCCCACGCAGCGGCCCACGTGCTTGGACCATCTTCTGCTGCTTTTTCCGGGGACTTTAGAAGGGAACTGGATAAGAAGTGGGGCAGCCGGGACTCAAACCAGCGCCCCTAGGGGATGCTGGCTGGTATTGCAGGCAGCAGCTTCACCGCTTCCCAGCTCCCGCCACTCTTCAAATGCTTGTTATCACTGGTTTGTCTGTTCCCCTGCTGACAGACGTTCTGGTTGATTCCCGTTTGGGGTCATTCTGGATAAAGTTGTTAGGAACAGCGTGACTTGATGTTCTTCCACACGACCTTCTGAACGATGGCTGTGACTTCTCTCCGTTACAGAGACAAAAAGAATGGGGATTCTGACCTCCTACACGTGTCAGGTGAGCAGGCTTTCGGATGGCTCGCTCAGTCACCTGGGCCCCTGCCGGCCATTTGAATTCTGCAGGTGATTCTGCAGAATTGGTTTGAGAAGCCCCAGCGACCCTCACTTTTGTGGCAGGCTAGGGAAACAACGGGGGCTGCGTGCAGGGGACTGGAGCAGTGTTTTCAACAGGTTCGAATTTCTGGATTCTCTGGTTGCTGCTCTGAAATGGTAGGGGCATTTGGCCCCGGTTCCAGGGCTGTGATGTCCCCCGCCCACACCCCACAGCTGCTCTCTTCCCAACTGGGGTCCCAGTTTTTTATGGCAGCAGCTGCAGGGTGAAAAATAGCCCTGCTCGTAAATTTACTCCAGCCAGCCAGACGAATGCCAGGAGCCCCACGGGGACCATCGAGGGAACCCTGTGAGGCTGACCTGGTAGGTGGGCACCTGCAGCGTCTCTCTTGGGATGGGATTGAGCTGGAGGAGCTGGAGTGGGGAGGAGGGGACTGGTGTGGCTCAGTGGCTGAGGATGGTGGTGGGGAGGAGTGGGGAGGAAGGAGGACCTTGGACCATAGCCCTTGCTTGGCCTCCTTCAACACCACCTTCGCCCCCAACACAACGAGTGCAGGGGCAGTGTGGCCTAATGGTTAGAGGTATATGCTTTGAATGACCCCTGTACTACCATGTCCCAGGTGTGTGTTCTTGAGCAAGTCACTTCACCTGAGTCAATTTCCCCATCTGAGAAATCGGAATCAGGAAGGTGGGTGGGAATCAGCTCAGCACAGGTGCTCCTGCTGCCAACGATGAAGTCTAGCCCCTGGAGCAGAGCAGGGTGGGGGTGTCTTTCCCAGGGTCACCTCTTCTCAGAGGCTCCTGACCCGCCAGGTTCTTGCACTTGAGGGTTTAGAGGCTCTCCTTGGGCACAGGACGAGGAACATGGGCTGGGCAGTGTGGTGCAGCCGGAGCATTGCCAGTAGCCAGGGAAGTCCCAGAAAGCCCAGTGTCGGGGTGTGAACGACACTCAAGAAGGATAGGGTGGGCTCCAGGCCACGGGCTGGTCCACAGGGGCCTGGCGCCTGCCATAGCGTGGGGGTCATGTCTCAGCTGTTCTCTGTCTGCCCTGTGTGGTGTGAGGATCACAGCCAGGCCTTAGATGTTGTCTGGGGTCAGCGTAGCTGGCAACATGGAGCCGGACGCCTGGGCTCCTATGGAGCAGATGCCAGGGCTGTCACTGGGGAGGCCGGGCGGGATCCAGGGGCTAATGTCCAGGCAAGCGGACTGCGTCTTGGGCTAGTTCTGTTGTGTGCATTTCACATTAACACGGCTGCTCCAGATTCTGGCCGGAGGGCCCGGGGATGGGGCAGTGGAAGGGGCACCTCCAGGCACACAGTGGGCAAGGAAACTGAGTCGATGGACAGAAGTGCGTGAAAGAGCCTTGAATTCCAATGGCAGCCTTCAGGTCTCCCCATCCGGGCCATGTAACCTTGAATGGTTTCTGCTAGGACAGCAGCTCTGAGTCTCTGCAGAATCGCAGGCCCAGCCCCACCAGAAGCCCACAGGGAGGAAGTGCAGGTAGAGCCCCTGGCCCAGCGGTGGCTGTGCTGCTTCCCACCAACAGGGGGTTCAGAGGTCCTCTGGAAGAGGCTGCTGTGTACCCAGTAAGTGATTAATAAATGTTGA